CAAGGCAGTTTCCCCCTCAACTCTATTGACTGCTTTCCCCTCCCACCAGGAGGTGCGTGGAGTATCCCTTCCCACCCAGGACGTCCCTCTGTCATTGTCACCGGGGACCCCGGCGTCCTCTGGCATTTTGCGGCGCGGCAAAGGAGCAAATCGCCATCTTTGGCAACTCCACTGAGTCCGAGTTGTTCAGTCCTCAGAGTGGGGGGGGGGGCGGAGAATGCTGATGGGCAAATCCAGGTTACAACTTCAAGTCGCTACAACACATCTCTCCCTGTTTGGAACGTCGTGACTCTGGAATCAGCTCTCTCTGGGCTCGAACTACCGCCCTGAAACACGATTGCGCCGTTGTAGTAGGGTATCCGGAGAAGGTGGACGTGAGCGCAAGATGGCCAGCGAACCCAGAGCACTACAACTCAGCTCTCATCGTAAACCGAGATGGCGATACTGTTGGCAACTACCGGAAGCTACACCTATTTTTTACCGATGAGACCTGGGCACTCCAAGGGCGGGATGGTTTCTTTCGGGGCAATGTCGAAGGCTTGGGGAACGTTGCTTTGGGTATTTGCACTGACATAAAGTAAGCCTGCTGTCTTTAGTGAGTTCTCCCTAGACATTTCTAACAATGTCTAGTCCATACGAGTTGGAAACACCATGGGAAGCTTTCGAATTCGGATTTCACGTCATGGAAGCACACGCAAATGTGGTCATAATCAGCATGGCCTGGCAATCTCAACAGGATCCCGGCCAATACACCCGTCGGCCTCACGAGCCGGATCTCGAGGCCCTGGTGTACTGGGTTCAGCGTCTTGAGCCTCTGATCCGGGAGGATAGTGAGGAGGAGATTATCGTCGTCTTTTGCAACCGGACTGGTGCTGAAGACGATGTGATGTACTCGGGAACAAGTGCCGTCTTGGGCATCAGAGGAGGGGAAGTTTACGTGTATGGGGTCCTCGGACGTGGAGTGAAGGAGTTACTTGTGGTCGACACGGACCAGCCTCCACTCAGCAAGTTGACCGATGCCTCAGGGGTCGAGGCCGAGAATCCTTACGCCGAGGAAACCGACGTCGAGACTGAGCCCATCAAGCGCCGTGCGCAGGCCCTCGAGATCCAGATACCGGCCAAGGAGACGCCCAAAGAGCCACCAACATCGCATCCGATCAGCAGTCGCATAGAGGCTGTGTCAGCAACCCCCAAGTCTGCATCTTCTGCTCGGTTACCCTGGCTTGCACCAGCTGAGCCTGATGCCCAGAGTCCCGGCAACCCCCGATCACCTACTCGACTGCAGATACCTGTAACACCAGTGCGACCGAGTGCGGAAGAATTCACTCTCATCGACAGCGCCATTGCCGAAGACATTGCCATTCCCACAGCAAGATCATCGCGGACTCCAAGCCCGGACCTGAAGGCAGCATCGCGTCCCTCGAGGCTATCAATACCAACGACCCCGTGGAAGTTTCGAGACAAGGCCAGCCCTTACCCATGGCAATACCGAGATGGGTCGCAGTCAGCTCTTTTTGGTGGGGGAGCTTGCATGACGCCAATAACACCGTTCGAAGTTGAGGAGGGCTGGTTGGGGACACCCATTGATGCTAAGCCACCAAACTGGTACTGGAAGCACGATCACTCACTCTCCGCCGTCAAAGAGGCGATACAAGAGGAGGAAGAGGTGTCGCCGGGGAGCTCCTCAAAGCCAACCCAGAAGGTGGGAGGGCTTGAACCAGCAAAGACACAGCAAGACGCCTCTAAAGTCCGAGATGCCACACCGATCGACACAGAACCGCCAAATTGGTACTGGAAGCACGAGCCACAGTTGTCTTCTCTTGACGAGATACTCCACGAGGAAGCAGAAGGTGAACAAACCGAGACAGGAGAGAGCCCCAGACCGGAACAAGCCGCACCGTCAAAACCCACTAGTACCACCGTGGCAGAGGATGTCTGGGTAGCCACACCCATCGACAATGAAGTTCCAGATTGGTACTGGAAACACGAGCAAACGCTACCCTCCCTCAACGAAACAGCACAAGAGGAGCCTGAAGAGGACGAGCCAGAAGCAAAACAACAAGAATCATCCAGACCACGCCAAGTCTCAGCAGAAGACGTCTGGGTAGCAACCCCAATCGACAACGAGGTCCCAGACTGGTACTGGAAACACGAACAAACACTGCCCTCCCTTGACGAGACAGAAGACGACCCGCCACAGAATGCCCCCCAACCAGCCACCATCACCACCACCACCACCACCCCAGCAGAAGAAGAAGAAGAAGAAGAAGAAGACCACACCCCCACCCCCATGGACGAAGAACCCCCCGATTGGCACTGGAAACACGAACAGACCCTCCCTCCCCTCAACGAGGAACACCCATCCCCTTCCCACTCCCAAGACTGGGCAGACCTCTCCTCTGTGTTGACTAGTTTCAAGATACACCCAAAGTCAGTGTTGAGCAACTCCAGTGCTGCGCAGGATATTGGTGCGGAGAGGCCTAGCTCGCCCAAATCGCGGAATGCGAGTCGGTCGAGGCAGATTTATAGCTCGATGGAGAATTATGATTGGGAGCAGGGGCAGCAGCAGGCGAGGGGGGGTGGTATGCAGGTCCTTGGTAGTGGTGGTGGTGGGGTGAGGAATTTTTTATAAATGTTGATGAATTATTTTAAATAATTGAGTGAGTATGTGTAATATGGGTGAGGGTGGGTTGGTTTGGAGGGGAGAGGGG